GAAGGTACCATTTGGCCCTAGTTAGGGGGGAACACCCACAATCAAAGGGCTGGATTGTTCAAGAAATGGTTCACTAGACCGAGAGGTGTGTTTACTTTTAATTAGAGGAAATTAGGTCAATAACGTTTCTTTTGATGGTAATCATTGGTTTTCTTTATTGCTATTACTGTAAGGTTTTGTTTCGTGTACGGTAATTATTATTACTTCCTCGTTAGCCTTTGAAAGGCAAGTCAAGAGTTGGTGGCCAAACACCATTTTTATTCATTTCAAATGCCAAATACTGATTTGTTTGTAGAAAAAAAATATTACGCCTTTAAAGGGCCTATCAAAAGAAGCGCCGCTTTCTGATATCAGAATCGTCAAGTATTATTGTCATTATAGTAATCTAATAGTATCTCTTTATTATGAACAGCATGTTGATTGTATGAATGTAAAGCATTAAACTCAAAAAGATACAAACACTTCAAATATTTTTCGATTTAGTAAACTCTACAAGTGATTTGCGCAAATACCTGTGAATCCACCAATAATATAAGTAAGCGAGGCGCTATCAATTTTATAACTTTCGCCAACATATTCCAGCTGGTCCGTAAAGCAATTGTATGTGAATAAATAACCGTAAAATATGGGAGCTTTTGCTCCATTTGAGATTCCAATCTAAGTCTCATTCACGAACTTCAATAAGGACGCAAAAATGTTACATTTACGAACGTGCGTATTTCAAGAGACGAAAGTGCCATTTCTCAGCGAAAGTGCTAGAAAAAAAATTCTCTAAATGCGTCATAAATTCAGTTTGAATAGGAGCAAAATATAAACGGGCAGTGCGCGTGGCGACGTCCCAGCTTCGGGACACTTGCAATGAAATATGCAGAACGGGTTTCAAGTAGTCACTACATAGAATCTGCGCTGTCTCGAAGGGAGATTCCCAAGAGTAGCCACCGTGAAACAGGGTAAGACCGCGTCCAGATTTGTGTTATTAGAATTGTGTTTGTAAGACACGAGGATGACTGGTAAATCTCTGGGGTTTAGAGCAGCATGAGCAGCGGATTTCGTTTAAGAAAAGGTTTTTTCTATTTACTTACATTCGGATCGTAGTGTTCATAGCATCCAGAAAGTTAAAGCTTGCTATGTTAGTAGTTAACAACCAAGTTACAAAACAATTGGTTTTCAAATAAAAAGTAAGTTAATTTGTTATGTTTGTCGTCAATTGTCGTCGAAGTAGCAGCGCGATGCAGCTCATGAATATGGGCCTCTAGAATGGCTTGAAGCTAGTCAAGTTCCAAGCTGAAAAACGTAATAATTAATTTAGTATGTGTTATGAAAATTATAAAATAAAAAAGAAAGTTTACATGTTCATCATTTGTGATTCACTTTTTAATTTACCCCTCATTGGATACAGGTGGCGAGTTGTTGTTCAACGTGGAGGACTAAGGGAGAGCCTTTGTCCAGCAGTGGACGCCTCCGGCTGTTGGTGATGATGATGATAATGATGATGATGACACCTCGTTGATGACTTACTGAGAAAATACTCTATGTACTATGTACATAAAGAAACCTAGTCAAATAGCAACTACTTTATACCTACTATACATCTAGCAACTGTAGACACACCCTTGCTCGCACATTTAAGCCGCGTCGTTACGTACGTGGCCAGATTATGTATGCCCCATTTTTATTCAAATGGCATAAGAACTATGAATTGGATTCAGTGTGATGGCTGTTATATCTACATAGAGAACCGTCACAGTGTCTATATTGTGTCTAGTATTTACAGAGCGGGAAAACGTACGCATGATTTTCAAATAATGGTATGTTCCATGGTGCAGCACTAGGAAATATCGAATGGATTTTTTGGTAGGTTTTCCATGTTTAGTCAGTTCTTGTTTGTCAACTGTAGTTACGTTAAAAAATATATGAATGTAAAATGACTGATTATAACGCCAATCCTGGACATGAAAAGGCGATAATTGAAAATTTCTGTGGTAGAGCCATGCACGAATGGGCCAGCTCGACCGGAATGATACCGCGGCCTCACAGAAAACCGACGTGAAGCAGTGCTTGTGTTGTGTCTCGTCGTGTAAGCGAGGTTACCGGGGGCACAATTTTCCTCCTTTCCAATTCCCCCAATACCTGAATCCCCAACAATCGTCAAATTTCTAATCCCCAAAAATCGATAACGTACTTGTAACGCCTCTGGTGTTTTTCGAGTGCCCATGGGAGGCGACGATTGCTTATCGTGATTCGTCTGCTCGTTTACTGGCTTATCCCTTAAAAAAATACTTTTTACCTTCATTATTAATTCCAAACCGAAAGACGATCTTCGGCCACCGTAAGCGCGGGTCTGCGGACGGCGAGCATGGGTGCCTCCCCGTACGACCAGAAACAGACCCAAGCGTACGGCGCGTCGCGTTCCGCGCGCGCCTCAAAGAGCCATCAGACCACCACAGATGGGGCCCAACAGGGCCGATGCCGATTCGGAGTCGCGAAAAACCTAACGGGTTACCGGAGCTACGGCTCGACGTGCAGGAGAAGGAACGGGGTGGTTTTTAGTCAGTAAGAGTCTGCCACTCCCCCGCCTCACCCAGGCGGGAGAAATCATTCGATGATTTTCCCCCCTTAAAAAAATCTCATTTTAAGTCAATTACAAACACATAAATGTTCTTGCCACTAAATAAGATTACATTTGACCATACAATATCTTAAACCTAGATTAGAAACAGCCGGTATTTCAGCTTTAGATTACTTACATAGCAATGTTACTCCATTTTGGCTAACCTCAAACGAACGGGTGTCGCCTGGTTCAAAGACTAGTCGTAAATTAAGGTTAATTAAAGTAGCAGTCACTAATGTATTAACTTTGTTATAGGTAAGGTATATAGAAATGCATACTGGGAATAAATTCAGATGATTCTGATAAAAATTTAATTCAATATCGCGTTTGTAATTTTCTACAGATTTAAGCCAAAGTAATCTTAGCTTTACTGACGTACAGTTCAATTTTGATGTTTTAGAAGCGCTTATTTAAGAATAAAATGAAATATTTATTTCATATTATTGCTTTGACACTTGCTTATAACCAAAATATAATAAGCTTACCAATGGTCCATCTCTCGGTAACCACTAAGACGAAATGAAATAAAAACATAACATCAAGTCTTTTTCATACCCGAAAGGGTAGGCAGGGGTGCACATTATGGCACTTAATGCCACTGTACAATGTAACACCCACTTTTCACTATTTATGTTATGAGTCCCATGTAATAGGGGGTGAGCCTATTGCCATATACCGGGCACATTTCCAGACTCCGTGCTATTGCTGAGATTATTTTTAATAAACCAAATACTTTGCCCGACCCGGCAATCGAACCCCAGACCCTTTACCCGACCACTCGGCCAACGAGGCAGTCGAGGCGAGGAAATAAGAGGCGAGCAAATAGAAAACAATACCATATCCATGTTGTCATTAATACTATCTGACCTGCAAATTCCTTATGTTTAGCAATCACTCCAGTGACAAGACAAGATACTTTGAATAAAAAAAAACTAAAAACCATAGGAATTTATGAACACGATCGTATGTTAAAAGAATATATCGACGGGGGAATGTCCTTAAGAACGTACACTGACCTAACATCTGTTTGTCGTCCCTTGAAAGGTCGAGTACATGGAACTTGTAACCGGGTGCTCGTGTATGACTAAGCAAATAAAAACCGTATAAGATAAAACATAAAAGATAAATTAGAATGTAGGAAACTCGGTTTTTAGAAGTATTTTAATTACTGTCTTTTTGGTCGTGTGGTCTCAAGTGTAACTGACAAGCAAAATGGTTGTTTTAAATGGTGACTTTGGAACTGAAATGCGTGATGTTAATTTATTGTTGATAAAAAAATCAATTGTAAGCAATACTTTTATAAACGAGTCGGTACCCATTCATTTTCAGTAAGGTATAAAGAGAGTGTATATATGATATGTGGGTTCATATTATCATTGATGATGATTCATTGAAGTAATGTTATCGTATAATATATTATATAGATGACTAATTTTTATTTTAATGTCCGTCTGGTAGATTATTTTAAAACATTACACACGCATTTTTTATTTTTTTAACAAAAACTAATACTTTCGACGATATATTGATTTGAAATGTCGCGTGACGTCACTTCTATGTGCATTTTATACGTAGAAATGACGTTTTAGCCCCTACTCCTAAACTTTGATTTAATATACAACAAAATAAAAAAATACGTGTCTAATATTTTTTCATCACCTAACTGATGGACTAATTAGACTTTTAATTTTCATACTCTGTCATCATCCCCATTATTACGATTTAGTAAGAAAGGCAAAACAAAAGAGGATTGACAAGAACATATTAAGAGGATTGTCAAAAACTGATAGCAGTAATGTTAAACCTAAAAATCAGTACTCAAATCATCAATTGATCGTCATCAATTGATCGTAAAATTATCCATTGTTAGCCTTATTGGAGTTCGAATCAGGCATAAATCAGGCACAATACATTTGCAAATTGAACACAATTGCTGTCAGCAACACAAGCACATAGGACATGACACAAGAGATTTGTATGAGTAAAAATACTAATTTCTGTCTAATCTGTAGGTAATTGTATTTGATTTTCATAAATCAGATCTTTTTTAGTTATATACATATGTAGGTATGTACATACATATATATCACATATCATTGGAAAATAACAAGTTATATTTTCCTAGGAAAATTATAAACTTTTGTCCTAAAGAATCCTACGGGAGTTTATAATTTTCCTACGAAAATTCTATATGTTCTATCTTACTGTTTCGGTTGAATAAATACTTTTTTAATAAAATAAAAATACATTTACACTACAAACAAATGTGTATTTAGTAGTTTTACAGTAAAAAAATCCAAAAGTAATGCTCAAAAAAACCCTATTCGGTTAGAAACTAGCAAACAAATTAATGCTCAAAAAAAACCCTATTCGTTAGAAAACTATTCAATCAAATGATACCCCATTCTATGTAGTCTTCAATAATTCCTTGAATCCTGCTTTTATACCTTTTATCAACGTTAAAACTTAGATTATTCATATCACGGTCATCTTTGGTCAAATCGGGCACATCATCTTCGGCAGCCAACACAAAAGGCAAAAATATGAAAGACATTACTAGCCCACTTTCCAGTCTTGCGTCGTAATCTTTCTCAAAAAGTTCCCTTGAATATAATTCATTGATGTCGAGATCAAAGTGTTTCAAAAATCTTGCCATTGCTTCATGGTATACATTTTTCAAATGTACTAGGTAATTTTTTCGGAATTCCTTATCAGTACAGCACATGATACAATATAGGAAGTCCACTACAGGACATCCGTAGTACATCATTTGATAGTCGACTGGTATTAGCTCTGATATCTCACCATCCTGTTAAAAAATTGATGTATTAATATTTATGATAGACAGTTCTAATTAATAGTTACTGGTCTTAGTTTGTGTGTCTAGGTAAAGGTTCTAAAAATATTATAATAAATATTTCTTTAAGAAATTCTTAATTAAATAATAATATGTGTGATATGACAAAGATAAGGTGATAACCACACGTACATATATGTACTCAACTCGGTTTAAATATACGTAATAATCGTTATGTTTTTCTTATTTTCTTATCTTGCAAAACGAATATAATTATGTAAGTATGTATGTATGTCAGCGCGCACGATAAATCACAACAAAAAGGTGTATTACTGAGTGTAAACATCACGTGACTCGCCCCCACTCGATGTCATTACTATAAAAGACACGCCTACACGCTCCCAAGCTCAGAAGCGAGTGAGTCGCCGTACGAGACGGAACGCTCCTGCGTAATACACGCTCTGAGTTTTTGTCGTGAGATTGTTATTCTCATTATTTACTTTAATTTATTTTGTTTACAATTGTTATTTTTGTTTGCTTTCTATTTACTCTGTTATTTGCTTTATTTTATTTTATTTTTATTATTGATTATTGGTTTATTATTAATTTACTGATTTGATTAAATTATTTATGTTGTTGAATTGATTTAATTTGTCTAATTTTGTTATTCACTTAAATTAATGATCTACCCTATTATTTACTTTTGTTTTGTTTATTAATAATTATTTGCAAATTGATTGTGAGTGATAAAGTGATTGTTCTCAAGTGTTTTTCTGTGAAATATACTTTTTAAATAAGCTCTTTTAGTGTTTCAATAGAATGTCACCACCGAATGAGGAGAAATCTCCAACATCAGAAGATGGGACACCACGTGGCCAGAAACAATCTAATGACGTCATCCAGGCTATGGCAAATGCATTCCAAAGTACAATGAGTAATATGATGGCTCAGCTATCTTATGACCATCGTACGACCTTGACAGAAATGTTAACCCTCATGAAATCAGAGGAAAACAAGCGGGTTCGTATATCGGATGTCTATTTTCCTGCATACGATCCCGATGCTAACACTGACGTTCGAGATTGGGTTGATCTCATCACGAGAACTCAAGCTGAATACGGACTTCTAGATCATGAAGTACGATTAAAAGCAGCTAGTGTTCTAAAAGGTCGTGCAAAGACGTGGGCAGATAGTAGCCTTCTCAGGACAACCACCTGGACCGAGATGCGTGATGATATGCTGCAAACTTTTGAACCCGAATCGAGATACTTTGCGGATATTTTACGTTATAAAATTATAATATTGAAGATGCGGACAATATCCAAGATTTTATCTCAAACGTGTGGAGAATGTTCAAAAGAATTGTTAAACCCAATCCAACGGAACAAGACGCAGTAGAATTTGTTATTGGAAGCATAAGTGATGAACGCATTCGAACCGAATGCTAAATAGCAAGTCAAAGTCGGTTCCTGAGTTAATTGCTATAGCCAAAACATTTCGTAAGCGCAAAATTGTACCAGCCTTTAAAACAAGTGATTACCATAAACGACCTCGTCTAGACTCGAGTCGTGATAGACCCAATCTTACTTGTTATGTTTGTGGTAAAACTGGTCATTTTGCCCGTTATTGCTTAGAAAACGCCATTCGTAAGGGAACATCTGCAACACCTGCTTCATCTTCATCAAATGATACAGCTGCACCATCAAACAAGGAATGTTCCTACTGTAAAGGATCACGACACACCGCAGAAACTTGTTTTAAGAGAATGGCTGATGAGCAGCGTAACAAAAAGGTTAAAAAATTACCCAGTTAAGTCACATAACACGATCTTTGTACAAATCGGACAAAATACTTTTGAAGGCATATTTGATAGCGGTGCAGACTGTTCGTTAGTGCAAGAATCTGTAGCATTACGTATTCCAGCGACAAAGAACGAGCATCTCAAGATGCTTCAAAGGAATAGGTCCAGTACCAGTTTACTCTTATACTCAAATAAAGTGAACTGCAAAATAAATTCCATTTTAATTGAAATGGATTTTTGCGTGGTACTCGACAACCAATTACCTACACAAGTATTGGTCGGTAACGATCTCTTGGGTATCCCTGGAATTACAGTAGAGCTATCGAATAAAGGCACTATTGTAAGCCGCAACCAGGAGCAATCAACTTGTCTTCAATTGAATGAATTAGTACCATGCATATTGATACTGATCTCAGTGAAGAAGAACATACCACCCTGTTACAAATACTTAAGAAATATCAACATTCTTTCGTTGAAGGTATTTCATCTAACAGAGTAACAACTGGCAAGCTCAGTCAGGCTGAAAAACCCTGATAAAGTAGTGGAAAGGCGTCCCTACAGAATGGCTCCAGTTGAAAGAGAAAAAAGTCAAACAAATCATTCAAGACTTGTTGGATAACGGGATCATAAGAGAGAGTAATTCTCCTTTTGCAAGCCCCATCATTCTAGTGAAAAAGAAAAATGGCCAGGATCGCTTATGCGTCGACTATCGTGAGTTGAACGCAAACACCGTTCGAGATCACTATCCATTACCTCTGATCTCTGATCAACTGGATCAACTTGCTGATGCCAAATATTTCTGCTGCCTTGATATGGCGTCTGGTTTTCACCAAATTCTGTGGCTGAAGACTCGATTGAAAAAACTGCCTTCATAACTCCAGATGGGCAGTACGAGTACCTTACTATGCCTTTTGGACTAACTAACGCTCCATCCGTTTACCAAAGGTGTATAAACAAGGCCCTAGGATCTCTTATCGGAGAAGCAGCTCTTGTCTACATGGACGATGTTCTTGTATCTGGCAAATCAATAGCTGAGACCTTACAAAGGCTAGACTTAGTGCTACAAGCTCTAAGTAACTCAGGATTTGCAATAAATCTAAAGAAATGCTCATTTATGAAAAAGTCGATACAGTATTTGGGATATGTCATAGCTGATGGGCAAATAAGACCCGACCCTTTGAAGGTAGAAGCCTTAGCAGGATCCTCTATTCCAGAAAATGTCAAACAACTTAGACAATTCAATGGATTAGCGGGATACTTCCGGAAATTTGTACCAAATTTCTCTTCAGAAATGGCACCTCTTTACGAATTGACAAAATCAGGAGTAAAATGGACGTGGACTGATCGTCACGAGGCAGCAAGAATGAAAATAATTAATTATTTAACTTGTGCACCTCTCCTCACAATATTCAAGGAAGGAATACCAATTGAGCTCCATACAGATGCAAGTGCTCTGGGTTTTGGAGCTGTTCTGATACAAATTTTAGATGGACGACAAAGTGTAGTTGGTTACTTCAGCCAAAGAACAACCAAAGCTGAATCAAATTATCATTCATACGAACTGGAAACCTTGGCTGTAGTGAGATCGATCAAACACTTTCGTCACTTTTTGTATGGAAGAAAGTTTACAGTTGTCACGACTGCAATGCTTTAAAAGCATCTCGATATAAACAAGAGTTGCTGCCGCGTGTACATCGGTGGTGGTCTTTCCTGCAGAATTTTGACTTTGAAGTCGAATATCGCAAAGGGGAAAGATTAAAACACGCTGACTTCTTTAGTAGAAACCATGTAACCCAAAAAAATACTCAGTTTGAGTTCCGATAAGGATTGGTTAATTATGGAACAGCTCAAAGACCCGCATTGAGTAAGATTATTCAAAGTATCAAACAGGGAGACTGCCACGAAACTGACTATCTTATCAAAGATGAAGTTTTGTGCCAGAAGATCAAATTGGACAACCAAAAGACCAAGGTTTTGAAAGTAGTTCCCCAATCTTACCAATGGAGTCTAATAAATCATTATCATGAGGCCTTAAAACACTTCGGTTGGGAAAAAACACTCCAGAAGTTAAAAGAACACTTTTGGTTCGACAAAATGTGTTCTAAGGTACGTAATTTTGTAGATAATTGCGTAGTCTGCAAAACCATGAAGGGAACATCGGGTGCAACGCAAGTAGAGTTACACCCTATTAAAAAAATTGCAGAACCATTTCATACACTTCACATAGATATCACCGGAAAACTAAGTGGACCTTCATCTGAAAAAGAATATGTTTTTGTCGCCGTAGATGCCTTTTCTAAATTTGTTATTTTAAAATATTCTACTAAGAAAAATCAAGAATCCGCGCTGCAACACCTAAAAGAAATTATATTCTTTTTGGAGCACCGAAAAGAATCATAGTAGACGGTGATGGTGCATTTGTGTCACAATATGAAAAATATTGTAAGCAATATAAAATTGAACTACACACACTGCAGCCTATACCAGCAGAGCAAATGGTCAAGCAGAAAGAGTAATGCGTGTCATCAAGGATGGTCTTACTGTAATAAGCAGTATTCAAAAAGATCACTGGGAAAGTGCTTTAGGCGCATTACAACTCGCTATCAATTGTACTGCATCGAAAGCGACAGGTTAAAACGCCAATCGAACTATTGACAGGTAAGAATGGAGTGTACCCCCAGAATTAATTTCAATTATCGACGAAGAGAATGAAAGGGTTGATCCTCAATCACTGAGGAAAGTCGTTTTTGAAAGGATGACCGAACAGGGAGAAAAATCTAAAGAAAAATTCGACAGTACTAGAGCAAAAGTAAAAAGGTTCGATAAAGGACAGTATGTTTTGGTAAAAGAACCTGTTCGATTAGGTACAAAATTAAGTCAAAAGTTTGGGGGTCCTTATGAAGTGAAGAAAGTTCTTCCTCATGACCGGTATGAGGTTAGGAAAATTACGGGTCGTGGACGACCAAGAAAAGTAGCCCATGAAAATCTACGAGCCGCTCCAGACTTCGGAAAGCAAAATGAGATTGCAGTGTCAGCGGAAGAGGTGTCAGCAGAAGAGGAATAATTTTTAAGAAAGTTTTTTTTATCACCAAGATTAAGACCTGGTTACTCGGGTAAGGTTGGAAGCTTGTTTTATTAGTAAAAAGGCGTTGAGGCCTAATATTGAATACCAGCGTGAAGGCTTGGTTGTTACGTTAAATACCAGCGTGAAGGCTTGGTTGTTTTGTTGAATACCAGCGTGAAGGCTTGGTAGTTGTATTAAAAACCAGCGTGAAGGCTCGGTTGTTTTGTTGAACACCAGCGTGAAGGCTTGGCTGTTCTAGTAAATAAAAGGCGTCGAGGCCTAATATTGAACACCAGCTTCGAGAGTTGGTAGTTTAACTGTTATAGATTAATGAATGAATCAAGTCTTGTAATATAATGTAATGTTTTTACAGAATCAAATTGACGCAGGGACGCGTCAAGTGCAGTATGGCCGTGTCAGCGCGCACGATAAATCACAACAAAAAGGTGTATTACTGAGTGTAAACATCACGTGACTCGCCCCCACTCGATGTCATTACTATAAAAGACACGCCTACACGCTCCCAAGCTCAGAAGCGAGTGAGTCGCCGTACGAGACGGAACGCTCCTGCGTAATACACGCTCTGAGTTTTTGTCGTGAGATTGTTATTCTCATTATTTACTTTAATTTATTTTGTTTACAATTGTTATTTTTGTTTGCTTTCTATTTACTCTGTTATTTGCTTTATTTTATTTTATTTTTATTATTGATTATTGGTTTATTATTAATTTACTGATTTGATTAAATTATTTATGTTGTTGAATTGATTTAATTTGTCTAATTTTGTTATTCACTTAAATTAATGATCTACCCTATTATTTACTTTTGTTTTGTTTATTAATAATTATTTGCAAATTGATTGTGAGTGATAAAGTGATTGTTCTCAAGTGTTTTTCTGTGAAATATACTTTTTAAATAAGCTCTTTTAGTGTTTCAATAGAATGTCACCACCGAATGAGGAGAAATCTCCAACATGTATAGTATTATGTCTCGATCTACATAAGAAATAGTTTGTTGTGCAGTATTTCTTTATTTTATAAATTCTGTGCTAAATATTCGCCGACACATTCTTAAAAACTAAATTTATTGATATAGATTGAATATAGTACTTATTAAAAAATATGGAGGTTTTCACCATTTTTATATATTTTCGGTATTGTATAGGATATCAAACACACACGTAACCTAATTATTTTATTCGTACCATCTTTAGAGATAGCCGCTCATCGAACCACAGATAATGTCAGATTTTGTGATTTAGCGAGATCTTTGAAACCGAAAACCAAATACAACGATGACACACAAGGTATTCACACAACAAATCGATATAGAAATTCTACAATTAGCATTATTTCCGATACGGAGCCGCGTAGGTCTTAATAGGTTGCTGGAGCTCCTTTAGTCATTAAGAGTTTGACACTCCCTCTCGCCTCACCCGGGCGGGAAAAGTCATTGGATGATTTTCTCCCTCAAAAAAAAGCATTATTAACTTAAAACAATATAATATACTTACGAATATTTTAACCAGTATGTTGTTAGCCCTATAATCGCCGTGACACAGGTTACGTCCAGATTCATTTTCAAAGCAGACCGTGAATCGTTCTCCAATATTATCGCAAAATTTCTCAACTCTTTCCTTGATGCCTTCATCTATATTATCCAATGTTATCTTAATGATATTTTGTGCAAGTTTTTGCCAGTTTTCACCAGTTTTATACGGAATTTTCCTAATTTTTACTTGATCTTCAAAAAAGTCTGGTCTCTTTACCTTTAGCACGAAGGAAAGTGCATGAAATTTAGCAAGTTCTTCAATAGCCGTTTTTGCGAACTCTAATGATACGACGTCCATTCTATGACCAGTTTTGAAACCCTTTTTTGCTACATTCTCCATTATAATAATTTCTGCATCACTCTCTTCATAGCTTTTTACTGTTTTATACCTTTCTTTAATTGGTACATTTGCTTCTTCTTGTACTTCATCGAACATCTTGAAAAGTACGTTGTAAGCGAACGTTTCATTTTCATAAACATCATGCACTGATAATATTTGCAAGTCGTTCTCACCTGGGAGAATGCTTTTGACAAATATATTTAGTTCTTTCTCACCTTCTTTTGTATCTCCATATATATTGATTTCATAAAGTAATCCTAAATAACTTCCTCCGTTTGTACAAAATTCTTTCTTTTCAATATCATATTTGACAAATCCATTGTTTTTCGCTATGTTTGTGATACACTGATCAAGTTTATTTGAAATCTTATTTGGACAGATGTATTGTTTGTCAAGTTCAAAATGTTCAGAGCGTGATTCGACCTGCATTTTGAGTGAGAATGATAACACTATCTCAATGCCTAAAATACCACTATACCTCCGTACAGTACTAGCGTATTATATAAATGCTATTCATTTTAAGGGGCTTGATACACTGGAATTGTAATATATTTTATTTTATTTTAATATTGGCAAATTTTATTCAACACATTCTGTCATTTGAAAGTTATGTCTATACATAGCTTGCATACATTTCGACTACACGGTTGCCGCAGTGCAGTGGTCAGGTGACCAGCTGCTGTGCAACGTGTTTCGTGTTTGATGTCCGCTTGGAGCAGTATGTACCTACTTTTGTTGTTTCGGGTCTAGGTGTGATGCAAATGTGCCATTGTATAAACACCCATGACTCAAGAGAAAATCTTAATAGGGTATAACCTTTTTGTAAGAAGAAAGTTAGATAATATTTTCATAACGTTCACATAATTGTAAGGATTGTTTTTTTGATAATAGGTGCTTAATATTAGGCGTACCTACAGATGTATGTACCTAAATATACCCACAGACTCCTCTACATAGCCTTATTTCATTACGCTATTAAACATACGATAAATTTAAAAAAATATTTTTGTTTGGTTAGGCAATGTATAGATAGTGTTAAGATAAAAACGAAATAATATAATATTTCTATATTTATTTTAGAATTAGTGCTATACGTAACTGGAATGTATCTGTTTGTTATCTTAATTTACCTCTTTAGATTTCTAAAATAATATTATTAGGTAATTTCTATTTTTATTTGAGAGCAGCTGCGTAGATTTTTACGTACCTATTGTTGCATTTTTCTCCGGCCCTAATGGTTAAAAACTGTTTACAGGTAGCCTAACCTATTAAATTATTGACTATCTCATATAATTTGTTTAACTTACTATAATTAAGTTTAACCGGGACATAGTGATAATGATGTTAATACAGATTATGAAATCGTCAGAGCTTAGTATTAGTAATTTCAAAATTATGAATATTAAGGTACACACAATCTAATTTTAAGTTTGAAATATGCTTTAATAGGGTAGTAGACTAATTTTTATTTTAATGTCCATCTGGTATATTATTTAAAAACATTACGGAAACGAATAGTTTTGAAAATAATACTGATCTGAAATGTCGCGTGATGTCACTTCTATGTACATTTTATACGTAGAAATGACGTTTTAGCCCCCACTCCTAAACTTTGATTCGTTATATCTAAGTATCATTTTATTATACAACAAAATAAAAAAATACCTGCCTAATAATTTTTCATTACCTAACTGACGGACTAATTCCATTTTTAATTTTTACACCCTGTTATCATCCTTATTGAACACTTGTCAGTTAAAAGCATGTGTGTCGGAATATTGATCAAAATTAGCATGCTCATTTCAGGCATGTTTGCGAATTGATAGACGTTCGATTTTACCTTTAAGTAACTCTTCTCTAATTTGCTTAAACTCAATGATTTGATCTAAGTATTTTAACTTCGTAACAGAAATATTCATTCATTATCAAAATACAACAATGATATCAAATACTACATCATTACATTTTTAATTTTTACACCCTGTTATCATCCTTATTGAACACTTGTCAGTTAAAAGCATGTGTGTCGGAATATTGATCAAAATTAGCATGCTCATTTCAGGCATGTTTGCGAATTGATAGACGTTCGATTTTACCTTTAAGTAACTCTTCTCTAATTTGCTTAAACTCAATGATTTGATCTAAGTATTTTAACTTCGTAACAGAAATATTCATTCATTATCAAAATACAACAATGATATCAAATACTACATCATGATAATTATAAAACCTGTTCATCCTGTAAATATTTTGATAGTATTTTATGCTAGTAATGTTGCGTAGTATGTACCTATTAAGGCCGTCACAGATTTAGGTACATTAATTACATATTAAAGCAAATATTAGCACATTATTTTAATACAATTTTTTGAGTGGCTACACACACGACTTTATTATACAATAATTTTTGTAACATCACCAAAATATATCCAAGAAATGTATTTTCTTATATATTTAAATCGATACAGTCGCAGTTCAAAAATGTATAATTATTATATTATAGTTTATAGTTAGGTCTATAACGGCTTTCATGTACTCACACTTTTTCTTTGACATGTATCAACGAATATTTTACGTAAAGTAAGCATAGTATAATAATACGTACCTACCTATAGGTACGTAAAGATTGATAAATCAAACACCCTGGTGGGGTGTATATCGTATCTATCTATCGTATCATATCTTTTGTTAAAAATAAATAATGGTCGCATAAAAGGTTCTTCAATGATATAATTATTTACAATTAATCAACTTCAACTGAAGTTATAATCAAATAGAGATAGACCCAGAAGGTGTATCTTCGATTCCAATATACTATTGAGCCATTTTCGGTTTTTGGAAAACTCAATTGTACCAAGGTTCACCTCATAATTAATAAAAAAATTAAATTACGTTATATATTTTGAAAATAATACGTCTCCTTATAGTGGCACACCAATTTATAAAAAAAGCAATTCAATATATAAATACTTTATAAATCTTTTAATATCCAATCTAAGAACTCTATTTTTGGAGATACTTACAAAGAAACGATTTCATAAGATTCGGAGGCGTACAAATTGACATGTTTATATTTCTACATTGAAATTATACCTATTTATAACAGAGCTAGCTACTGCCGCGTAGTTTCACCCGCACTGCTCGGCTTCTTTTGATTTTAGCGTGACGTTTTAGCCTTCCTCGATAAGTGAACTATCCAACGCAAAAAGATTATTTCAAATCGGATCAACAGTATTAGCTATTAAATTAGCTATTCATCCTTACTAATATTATAAATCGGAAAGTGAGTTTGTTTGTTTGTTCCACTTCGCCCCGTAACTACTAAACTGGTTGCTTTGAATTTTTGCAGACTTGAAGTTAGAAGTCTGGATTAAATAATAGAGTACTTTTTATCCCGGAAATATTTGATATTCTCGAGGGAAAACGAAATTATTGGTATAGATGGCGCTGTGTGTATTAGTATATATCACATAGCCTACTTTTTATCCTTTTGTGACGCGAGCGAAGCGGTAAAGGCTAGTAACTCAATAAATAAATGTATTTCAATAAGTAGTCTGTATTTCCTGAAGGGAGAGCTGAGAGACTTTACGCTTACCACCGTAAGCGATAATGCGGTCTACGATAGTACGGTAGTCGCCTGGTGAGGCGAGATAGGGTTCAAACGTCGGCCCATCAAATATTAAAAAAGCAGGGTAAAAACGCAAGCGGTCAATCACCTCCAATAAAACAAATAAGCTCTTCAAACCACATTCATTGCTTTGATAAATATTTACTCACATTTGTATATAAATAATAACTACGAGTACAATGGGTGATGTTATAACCATTAATCTTTCAGCGAGTTGAGTTGATCCACTCGGTGTCAATTCGAGCACGTTAGTCGTGGTACGCCAATATTATTAAGTTATAATTATTATGTAGGTATGTACGTATGTAGTTTTCCTGCAAATCATATGTGTATACCCAAGTGTTATGTATAGGTAAAGAGGTAGAAAATAGACGTATGTAGGTGCGTACAGCGCGTCGCGTTCTGTGCACGCCTCAAAGAGCCGTCAGACCACCACGGATGATACCAATAGAACTGATGCCGATATGGAACCCTGGATAACGTATAAGGTTACCGGGGCTCCGGCTCGAAGTGCAGGAGTAGGAACGGGGTCGTTGTCAGTCACTAATAGTCTGATTCTCCCTCCCGCCTCACCCAGACCCAGGAAAGTCAAGACTTATATCCTGTTTATGGCAATACATTCAACATCTATTTCATCATCATTCCCCTAATGGCTTTCAGATAAGCCAGTTGGGAGTAACCTGTATCCAACTGCCTCACGTCTTGCGCTATACTTGCCGATACGTGGCTTCCATTCAAGAACCTTTTCATGTTATGTACCTATGTCGTATGTAACGAATGTCGTATGTAACGTATGTCGTATGAAACGAGAAATAAGTGGTTAACAAGCTCTTGTTTGCCCAGGAAATAACAGTAACATTTAAGAAGAAAATATCTTAAGAGAAGTATCAATAACTTAAGAAAAATACTATGAATCAAAACATCTTGTGGTCAAGTGTATAACAGACGATCTGAAATCGCCTTACTATCTGACCTCTTCAAGAAACTACTCCGATGACGTATTTATTGACGCCATTTGTCGTACGTAGGTACACTTATCGAGGAGTCAGTCGCAGACGTAAAACATATCCTTGTTTTACGAGAGATAAACTGTAAAGATAATTTCATCTTGATTTATGTGGCGTTTTATAGTTTATTTTATAATAGCTGTGTCTAAAGTCTGGAGATTTGAACTAGACTTGTCCATTTTTCTAGACAGTTTTAACAATGTTCTTTTTATTTTTTTTAACTTGTGCCTTTACAATCATACAAGTTCATATACACATGACACCCAGACCCCTAAAACAATCTATGGATCACGTAAAGAGTTGCGTGCGAGAATCGAACCCGCGACACGTTACGCGGCATTCAGTTGCCTAGCCACCGCACCAACCGTGCTGTCCTTTCTTTTTTACGCAATGATAATCTATACTACAAATTCTAATAAACATAATTACTATTAAGCAAATTGTCTTCAACAGATTGGAGATAAACAAAATCAAAAGACATTTAAACCTTTTTGCTACAAAACTATATTTTTCTTTCTCTAACTAAAAGCCTGACCCAAGACTTTTCACATACGCTTATCTTGTGCTGACTGAATCAGGCCTCGGGGTACGCCACTCATGTGGGCACGGTAGCGTCTGGTCTTGAGTACCAAGATATACCATCGACAAACACTCTTAGCACATGAGATGAATTTAGCATACCTACATGTCAAGTTGTGGTAGGCAGAGCCAATGGAACTCTTAATGACACGTTTTTGGCATTTGGCCTCGTTATTTTTTTCATTTGCATTCTTGGCGTACCTCTTTCATTACAT